TCACCATTAGTCAACACTCAAGTAAATTGATTTACTCCTCATTGCTGTCCTCAGTTGCAGAAAATTTTCCAAGCTTTGTAGAACACTCTCTGACCTGAGTATTTTCTGAGAATTTCTGAAAATCTCGACGAGGATGAAGAGAAGAACCTCCTAGTAGTACTAAATCACGTTGATTTCTATGGTTCTATTTTCTTCAGAACGCCCCGAGCACATGCTTGCACCTATCCTGTCACAGACCAAAGTGTTCCATTAGATACAGCAAACAGCCATAACTTCCACCATGGCAACATCCAAACGCAAATTGTCAAAGAAACACTATTTATTGTAAACACGTAAAAACACTACTACTAGAGAGCCCATCAACATCTCAAATACATAGGCTCATACATACTACCTCCGTTCCAAAATACTGGTACACTTTGCACCTCTCTGGTTGGAATAAGCTCAATATTTGGGCGATTGGAATGCTTGTTTTTGCACTAAACAGATCTATTGCAGTAGTATACACTTGTGTTAATTCCAATTGTTTTATAGCATTGGTACACTCTTTATAGCTATTCAAAGAGGCCCTATTTTGGCATATAAATGTGATTTTACCGTCAGTTGGGTTCTACTGGTCCCTTAAGGACCGGACTGGTTTATTTGAAAAGCCCAGACTGAGAGCTTTATCATGGTATACTTATCGTACTTATTGACAATGTTTCATGCAGTCTTTAGAGGGTCACTAGACAGAGAAAAAACTGCTCGGGCCTATTCGGGCCTGTGCAGTTTTTTTTTCAATTTTGAGATGGAGAACCGCTTCAAAGAGAAAAAAAAGTGCTATGCGCATGGTCCAAAAATGCTCCCCGTGTTATTTTCATGTGTTATTTTCAACACTTCCTGATTTCCTCTTTTCCACGCTCTTCTCATTCTCATTCTCTTCTTTTCCACTCAACTGACTAAGACCGGCTTCTTTGCTATTCAAGCCTTCTCCTTCTTTGCACCTCAAGTGACTCATCGACATTGAGCCTACGCGCCTCCACTACTACGCGCCTCCACTGAGCACCTCTACTAAGAGGGGATCCGTCGACTCGCGCCTCCTCCGTTGCTTCCACTAACTTGCAGGGGGGGGGGGGGAGCAAGCCAACGCATCTCCGTTGCTTCCACTAATAGGGGATCCATCAACCGGTCCGCGCCTCCGTTCATTCCACTAAGAGGGGGAACTCGCATCTCCCGCCTCCTTGCGTCTGCGTTGCTTCCACTCCCTGGCTCGCGTCTCCGTTGCTTCCACTAAGAGGGAATCGCGCCTCCACTAAGAGGGGGGACAGGCTATTCTACACAGACTGCTTCCACATCAGAAACAAAACGGCAAACTTGCTAAGGGTGCCTACAAGAATGCTGCTGTTGCATTCAAAGTTTCCCCTAGGACTTGTGCAAAGATTTGGAAACGATACAAGGAAACTCAAGATGATGATACATGCCCAGCTGGTGATGTGTCAAGCAACAAGTCCAAGTGTGGTAGGAAGCCAAGGGACTCTGCAGTTCTTCTTGAATCAATGAGGGATATTCCGTACAAGCAACGAGGAGATCTAAGGACCTTATCCCCGGCAATCAACATTCCAATCACCAGCCTGCACCGTCTTGTTAAACATGGAGCAATCAAGAGATACAGCTGTACGTTGAAGCCTTTCCTGAAAGAAGCCAACAAGATGGAAAGAATTCGATTTGCTCTGTCTCATATTGATCACAACGGTGTCTTTGATCCAATGTATGACAAGGTTCATGTTGATGAGAAATGGTTCTTCATGAAGGAAGTCACAAGCAACACATATTTACTTGATGAAGAGCTTGAACCAGTTGGCAAGACACCGTCAAAGCAGCATATCAAGAAGGTGATGTTTTTATGTGCAACGGCGAGGCCCAGATTTGATCATGGTAGAAATGCTTGGTTTGATGGTAAGCTTGGTATTTGGCCTATTGTTGAGTACAGACCAGCACAGAGATCTTCTGTCAACCGACCTCGAGGTACGATTGAACCCCACCCAGTTAACGTCAATGAAGAAGTGTACAGGAAGCTCATGATCGAAAAAGTTCTACTACCAGCTATTTTCAAGAAGTTCCCCAGAGACAACGGTGTTATTCCAAGTGGTGTTATCCAAGAAGACAATGCAAAACCTCATACACTGAACACCAGAGCAGCTGTGACTGCTGCTGCTCGTGAAAGGAACTGGAATATTGTTGTGAAGCCTCAACCACCTAACAGTCCTGACTTCAATGTCCTTGATTTGGGTTTCTTCAATTCTATTCAGAGCCTTCAGCACAAGAAGTGGTCTTCGAATATGGATACATTGATTGCCAACGTGATTGCTGCGTTTGAAGAATCCAAATGTGAGACTCTCCTAAACAAGGTATTTTTGACACTACAGTGTGCAATGGAGGAGTCACTTGGTGTTGGTGGTGACAACACTTACAAGATTCCACACCTTGGGAAAGAGAAGCTTTCTCGCCAAGGGGAGCTTCCGGTATCTATCATATGCAACCAAGAAAAGATTGCCTTCGCACGTTCAGGAGTACTGGCGGAGTTCAACAATAGTAATATCAATACTACTACTATTGCTGATGCTGGTAATAATGGTATTGGTACTAATAATAATAATAGTAATACTTCTGTTTAATGTGAATGATAAAACTGTACTTGTAGTAGTAATTGTACAGGGATATGCAAAGTGTACCAGTATTATGGAAAAATTAGAGTAGTGCAAAGTGTACCAGTATTTTGGAACGGAGGTAGTAATAAATTCTGAATTTTTTTTTTCCCAAAAAGGGRGGGATCGTGGCCTCGATGGAAAAAATTTAGAATAATTCTGTCTTGGTACGGTACAGTGGGCAGGGGTCCCTGACAGTGGGTACAGTAGTGTACGATTATGTTTCTTCATCAACGAATAAAATTGATTTCTTTTGATTGGTCTGGATAGAGAGAACGGTAGGTACGTACCTGGTACGCGACGAGTTACCGGTACAATTTTANCTACGATTGTCATAGTACTCGAACCGGTAGGACAAGCAAAGCGTTCACTTCCCCACGGTACCGAAGAGTATTAGCAGCAAGAGCTATCGGTATTGGATCGACACATTCCGAAGTCGAACAGATACGGGCAAACGAAGGTATTACGTAGATCTGCGGTAGCTACATTGACCAAGCAAATAATTCTTGCTAATTGCTACCTTTTTTTTCACTCATTGCTGGGGACAACCTTAGAGAAGACAATAAGTAACAGACAAAGCAAGCAGAACAGGAGGAATTTGTATCACGTAGCTTGCTAGGCCAAGGCAGATAATTGACTGGCACCCCACTCCGGTACAGCACGGCACTATAATAKAGAAAAGATGGAGCTTCGCGTCGGCAAGAAGTACCGGCTCGGCCGAAAGATCGGAAGTGGTTCCTTTGGTGATATTTACCTTGGAACAAACATGACCACTGGAGAAGAAGTGGCAATCAAACTCGAATCGGTTAAGACYAAGCACCCGCAATTGCTCTACGAGAGCAAGATTTATCGGATTTTGCACGGAGGATGTAAGTGAAATGCTGCGTGATATGYTTCTTGAGTCAGCCTCTATCAATATATCGTTTCCATAGAGAGTTCGGCCTTCCTTTGCCAGAAAAGTGAAATTTTTCCGATATTTTACTCACAAACTATATACTTTTTGGTCGTACGACATGATGGCGTGTTTAACTTAATTATTCTTTCATCTATATTCCAGTGGGCATTCCAAATGTTCGATGGTACGGTATYGAAGGAGATTACAACGTCATGGTCTTGGATCTTCTTGGGCCGTCCCTTGAGGATTTATTCAATTACTGCGGGCGAAGGTTCCAGCTCAAGACGGTATTGATGTTGGCGGATCAATTGCTGAGCCGACTGGAATACGTACACACGAAATCATTCATTCACAGAGATGTCAAACCGGACAATTTTTTGATTGGGTTAGGAAAGCGGCAGTCGGTGATCCACATTATTGATTTCGGTTTGGCCAAGAAATATCGCGATCCTCGATCCCATCAGCACATTCCGTACCGTGAAAACAAGAATCTGACTGGAACGGCGCGATATGCTTCGATTAACACCCATATTGGAATAGAGCAGAGTCGCAGAGATGATCTCGAATCCCTTGGATACGTCCTGATGTATTTCATCCGTGGATCACTCCCCTGGCAGGGACTGAAGGCCAACACCAAAAAGCAAAAGTACGAACGCATCATGGACCGAAAAATGTCTACTAGCACYGAACAACTGTGCAAGGGATACGCCACTGAGTTCCGATCTTATTTTGAATATTGCAGATCCTTGCGCTTTGAGGATAGACCKGATTACGCTTATTTGAAGCGACTCTTCAAAGAACTTTTTTATCGAAAGGGATTCCAATACGACAATATGTTCGACTGGACTGTTTTGAATTTGCAGCAGGAGCGATCGCGGGCGCCACAAGAGCGACCCGTGTTGTCCAACCAACAGGGTGGTAGCGGAGATCAACCAAGTCAGAGGGCTTCGGAGAGCCAAGGAAAAGGTGGTCGAGAATCTTATCACCCCGATGGAAGCGACCAGCGAAAACAGCCACCTGGCGTCGGTAATGCCGATGAAAAGGAGCGAAGCCGTTCTGGTAATGGAAACAATGACGACCAGCGTAGCGGGTCGCGTGGCTATGGAGCTAACAGCCAATCGCATGGAAGACAACAACAACAGCCACAATTGTCGGATCACAATCGGAGCCAGCAAAATGTGTCAGCCCAGGGTTCGAACCAAGGAGGACGATAAAAGAAACGACACAAATTCAATGTTGCTTCGAGGCGTCGTTATTGGGCGAGGAGTTCTGCAATACAATGGATCATTTGCTTGGAGGGGCTCACACTGAGGAAGTTTACGACAGCAACCTTTTGTTGCAAACGAGAAAGATTCGACTGAAGTGTAGATCGTTCATTCATTTTGCAATGGTCGCCTTCACGTCCGAAGAAAACTTGTATAAATTCTACGCAAACTAGTTTATGACATTTCACAATGTCATAATCTAGACTATGCTGTAGTTTTCTCCGCCAGTTCCCTTCCGCAACTGCTTCAAAAGAATGGAAAATATATGAATACATCGAGAATAACTGTACTAATTTCATTTCATTGAAAAGAAGTTTTTATTTACTATTGTATGATTGAAGATTTGTCTTTCATGGCGCTAGCAAAACATATCCCCGTTTTAGTATTCATTATACCACTTGAACAGCTCAGTACATTTGATCGTACCGATGCGTTTCCGAGTACTAACCTCTCTGGTCCCTCTCCCATTATAGCTAAGCCACTCAATTGCGAATTAAGCTTGTCGATTCAGAGTATATCATCGTACGAGTCCGAGGACCAAGAACATAGATCTTTCAATTCTTCTGAGTCACTCTCCCCATTCTTCCGATGGTTGTCTCCGGAACATAAATCATCTTCATGAATATTCCCCCAATAATACTGGTCACTTTCTTTTCGTGTCGGAAGCGCAGGTAGGCTTTGCGCAGGAGCAGGTCGAAGGGCTGCTACAGTAAGTGAAGCAGCATTCACTATTTTAGAAGGTGGGTTCCGGACCAAAGGTTCTTGCAACGGCATTCCGTTGTCTTTTGCTAAAAATGTACCAGCCGAGCCATTATTCGAATCAGACAACGTAGCAAGCACAGAATTGGTTTGTAGACGAGGATGTATTGTCTCATCACCTATTGTTTTGGTTGACGTACCAGTAGCATTTCGCTGACCAATAATCGGTGCCGATGCAGTACGTTGCGGTTGAGATTCTATGCCTGATCTGTCGAATCCAAAGCYTTCAAAAGGCACTTCATTGGAATTTGGTGTCTCGTTAAGGTCCAAGAGACTCGGCGTTTGGGGATTCCACAAAATTTCTATTGGTTCCTTTTGCAACGATTTTTTGGTGGTTGACCTCCTTCTTACATCCGGAAAATGCTTGTCCTCTCTTTCAAACATAGAGTGCGATGATCGCTTTGGTAAAGAAGCTTGGTGGGATATCTCATGTTGCGAGGGTATCCTGGTGGAGACTGAATATCTACTACTCTTTACGTCCGGGAAATACTTCTCTTCATCTTTCGCAAACATAGAGTGCGATGATCGGTTTGGCAATGGGAACTCAGCGAGTTCATCGCTTTTCCTTGTTTGTTGTAAACGCGGCCCYGAGGAGTAGCTCCTAGTCCGTGGAAAAGGCCAAGAATCTATTGTAGTACGATGGATTGAGTGGGTCGATCCGGTTTCTACTTCAGGGGCTTCCTCAAAAAATTCTGGGGTTTCATACGAGTCAGTAAAGGATCTGTCGTGTGATGAAAGTTTTAGTTGATCAAGAAGAGATTCGAACTGTTCTTCATTAGACAAGTTCGAGCTTGGACTCAGTGGAAAAAGGTTGTTCATTACAGAATTTTCCGTTGAAATATCTYCCCGGCGGTCGAAATCTATGCGCGAGTCTGAAAACGAGCGTCTTCGCGGACGATCGTCAATGAACAACAGAGAAAATTCTCTCTCGGCGTCAATTGGGTTGTGAATAGTGGCCCTCAAATCATATCCTCTTCCGCACTCCATGTTGTCATTCAAGGGCGAAAGTTTTCGAAAGTCGTAAGCACGCTCAATGACCACATCAGAAGCAGAATTGATACCTWTTTTCTCGCTGTTATTTTCTCTCTTTTCTTCTTCTTCAATTTCCTCGATGCGATATGTAGTAGGATTTTTTGCAAACATTGGAGAACGCTTRGAAGCTAAGTGATCCATTTTGGATSCAAAGAAAAAAGTATCTTCGGTAATGTCACTCATTCCACCAAGGCTTCCATCGTCCAAAATTAAGCTTTTCTCACGCAGCCCAAGATTCCTCCTACTGTTTGAATCATCGAAAGAGTCCAGCTTTGGTGCATCCCATGTGCCTTCTGCCGATGACGGTCTATTCACAACCTGTGCATTTTGTTTTACCAACATACTTCTTCCGGTTCCGACATCGATTCTCGTGCTGCGTATCGTAACAATCGTCTTCGATTCATCCTCATTTT